AGCAAGATAGTTCAAGCCTGACTTGAATTCTACCCCTAGGACTCATGTGGTGGAGAAAGCTGACTCTATAAGCTGCCTTCTGATGACATGTGGAACACTACACAAACACACACACAAAATCTTTTTTTTTTTTTTTTTTTTTTTTAAAGCCAGGCATAGTGGCATACTTGTGGTCCCAGCTCTGGAGAAACAGAGACAGGCTCACTGTAGCCAATCCAGCCTGCTCTTTGGGAACAACCCAGAGTTATCCTCTGTCCTCCAGACATGCAAGCACACATGTACAGGGACACAGACACACACACAGTGTACCTGCACACACATGCGCGCGCACACACATACACACACACATTTGCCAGATAAACAAATGGGTGCCAAAAAGGCCAGCCTGTCTTCAGCCCTCTAAAGTGGGTGTTGTATCTTCTGTAGGTCCCCCCGACTCCCGCTACATCCGAGTGGAGACCTGCATGTTCATGATCAAGCTTCCCCAGTACTCCTCCCTGGATATCATGCTGGAGAAGCTGCGCTGTGCCATTCACTACCGAGAAGACCCCCTAAGTGGCTGATGGGAGTGAACCGGAAGGTTAGGCTTTCACCAAGGCACCATTTTGCCGACTTGGGAAGCTTGCCAGTGCAGGCACATCCCTCCAGGGTCCTGAGTGAGAAGCTGGCGACATTTTGCTTTTCTGAACTTTCGTCAGTGTCCCAGAGCCACCTGGAAGACACCTTTTGTATGTGCCCATTTTGTGAGGGTCTGTTCCTTTGCTGCCTATTTGTGGTACATTTGTAGGATAGTTTAGTTCGCAGACAGTTTGTGTCTAATTTGATCTTCCTGGACACTGTCCTCGGTGGCTATCAGATTCTGATGCCACAAGGTTCCAGTTGGTTCCTCATCACAGAGTCACCAGTGGAAAGCTGGGGGTGAGATGACCTCAGCCACACGAAGTGTTCTGTTCTCTCTACAGAGTATCTCCACAAATGTATGTGGCCAGTCCTGCCCTCCTGCTCTGAGCTGGCATCTCTCCCAGAAGCACCTTCTGCAGGCCTCCCTTCTTCCATCTTGAAATGGTTGAGTTAGTGCTCAAACATGCAAGAGACATACAGGGAGCTCATGTGTTCACCTTCCTGCTTTACTGTGTGTTCCTGGCCGTAGTTTTTTGTTTGTTTGTTTTTCTTTTTCTTTTTTCCTTTTTTTTTTTTTTTTTTTTGTAAAAATCCACAGAAGCCCCTTGTTTCCTCCCAATTCAGACAGCCCTATCTACCACCTGTCTCTTCTGGGCCTCTGGGCTGAGTTTTCTCTGATGACTCCTCAGGAGCAGACATCCAGGGGCTACTCCAGGCCTTAGTTCATAGAGACAGGTTGGGTACTTCCTGGTGGTTGGAGCTGAAAAGACAGCAAGCTGGAAGAATAGTGCTGATTGGGACTTTTCTACACGGACTGCACAGGAAAGCACATGATTCAAGCCTGCCCCACTCTGTGCTCAAAGATGGCCCTTCCTCAGCACAGTGCTGGAAGGAACCCAGGGAAGGGTTACAACCTGTCTTTAAATACTGAGGTGCCTCTGCCCAGTAAGGGCTGCATCAGTGACCCAGACGGAGACTGCAGGGGATTCCTCTGTGCCCTGACTGATCTGCCCAGCACTCTTCACACCCCAAGTGTGTGTGTGTGCCAGGGCAGAGCTGCCTGCAGGTTCACCTACTACCCCAGTGCATCTGTGCCCTAAATAAGTCTTTGTCCAATGGTACTTTGTTCAAGAACAATACATGCCACCTGTTGGACAGTCATTTGGGCCTTGCCAGTTATCACAGAATGGCAGTGCTGTAGCTATTGTATGATACTGTGCACACAGAAGTCCTGAGGAGGGTAAGGAGGGTACACTCCTCTCCACAGCATCTGACCTGCTGGAAAGTGTGCAGGCTTTAGGGTTGGCATGCCAGCATCCATCTCCTTCCTGTTACGCTTAGGAAATGTGTTGAGGACCATTACAGAAAAGACCCCCACCCAACTCCCTCCGAGAAAGAGATACACCCTGCTCAGTGTGACTGCCACGCCAATCACTGGGCTGCAGCACTCACTTGAAGAGGAGTGCCCAAGTAAGTCCTGCTCATAAAGAAGATAGTGGCTGCTGCTCGGGACCACCCCAGCGACCTTAAGGATCCTGACTGCATTCTACAGAAGGAAGGAGCCTCTGAATTTACTAAAGTGGGTTTTCATCCCTGTACCCTCAAATTCTTGGTTCCCTTCAATCCTCTTCCCACGAATGGACTTGGGATTCTGTCAGCTACCTCCTCAGGAGGGTTCTGGAAGCTTATGTTGGCCCATTCCTTGATTAGATGACAGCTGTGAGTGAGATATCTGCTGCTAACTCAGCTGCTTCTCCTAGAGAGCACACTGAGGTCCAGACAGATCCCAACCTTGGCCCTGAACAATGTGTGCTGTAAAGTTACTTGATGTATATTTATTATAATTATTTATGATTGCGTTAACAGACTCCCATTCAGTCTGATGCCATTTACACTATGCTGTGTAAAGGAAGCTCACTACAGGAAAAAGTCACACCAATAAATAACCTTCATCTAACTGATTGATCCTAAGAGTGTGTGATCATGTCTTCTTGCTGAGTAAGCTCACAGGCTGGCACTGCTAGATGGCTCTGATCCCTAATGTCACAACTGACTAGGAATTAACATTTGTAGTTAGCATCTCTGCACTTGATGTGATCCTCATTCCATTAGCTTATGAACACCCTCTTCTTGGTCCACGTGGAAGGGTAGAGTCAAGGTTGGAGCTCAGCCTAGCCCTGCATATGCTGCCTACTCTCTCTTGACAGCTCATCTGCTCTGGAGCCTGGCATGGGGCTTTTCCAGAGCCAGCTATTACTCTGGAAGCGTTTGGCTGTTTCTAGATAGTCCTTCTTGGAGTGGCAGCGCATCTAGAGCTGCTTGAACAGTGACCACTCATCCCAGGGACCCCAATTCCGTTGTAACCTGCTTGTCCCCTTCTACCACTCCATGGTCATCCTCATTCAGACTCCTAAATACATCTTCATCACAGGGACAGAAAGGACCCATGTGGGTGCCAACCAAGCAGCTTTCTCTTTCCTAATCCTGTCACTGGAAACAGCACGAGCCAGCACTCACTCACTGCTCTGCTCACACACTGCAGTATCATCTCCCTACAAAGCACATTCAGAAGGCTTCTCACCCAGTGCTGGATGCCCTCAGCTGGAGAATACTGCTGGGACACAGGGAGGAAGGTGTTCTACAGCACCCTAGGGCAGAGACACTCGTGTAGTCTGGGTCATGCAGAGTGACCCTGAAGGTTTTTGGTTTTCTGCACCATGTATCCATGGCAGCTCTACTAGGTGGAAAACCAGCAGAAAGGGATGCTTGTTCATCAGGACCCACATGAGAGACTCCAAAGACAGCCCCAACCCAGCCAGCAAGGTGAGGTCTGCAAGAGCAGAATGAAGCATCCACCTACAACACCTCAAGCGTCTGAGGCTTTGGTCCCAGAAAGAAGCCAGCACAGCAGTGACTGGGAGAGCAACTCCCCTAAGTGTGCACAGGCCTTTCTGCTGGGAGGCTCCACTGTGAAGGTCTCTAATGAGGACTGGAAGACAATAGAACCAGGGGCACACATCTGCTGTACAGAACAGTGAAAAATCTGTGAGGTGGTTGATCTTAGTTCATGATTTCTGAACAAAGCCAGCCCATGTAAAATGACTGAGTTGAAGGAAACATTCTTAGAACTCAGGCTGTTTCCTGTTTCAATTTTAAAAAGGAATGTGGCTGGGCAAAGTGGCACACACCTTTAATTCCAGCCTTAGAAGGCAGAGGCAAGTGGATCCCGGATCCCTCTTGAGTTCCCAGACAGCTAGGGCTATGTAGAGACCCTGTCTTCAAAAAAGAAAGGGGGGAAAAAAAAACCACGAAGAAAGAAAAGGGTGGGGGCTGTGTACGAGGAGAAAACAACAGAATCTCAAGCAGATGGGGAGGGGGGGGGGTAGGGGCTTTCAGCTGTCCTAAAAGAAAGACCTGGGAAAGTGTCAGCTGATTGTCATAGTGAAGGCTGCTGGGAGCTGCCTAAGGGCTTAGTGCCCATCCTGATGTGGTGAGTGAGTCTAAGCAGGAAGTAGACAGACACAACCTGAGGGGACAGAAGACGGGCTTTGAAGGTTAGCATTAAAGCAGTTTAAGGATGAAAAGAAGTTAGTCTGTGGAGAACCAAAAGACAAAGAGATGTTTAAAAATTGTTAGGATCAGTCCAGGAGTGCAGTGGTCATTGGGGTTCTGTGAAGAAATGCCAACCCTGCCTACATTGAGTCCAAAAAGCTCTAAAGAGGTAAGGAACACATGCCTCCAGCAGAGGGCGCTCTGTATATGGAAGTGGCACAGGACACACATTAAAAAGTAGACTTCCAATTCTAGGAGAGTGCAGAGCTTCAAAGGACAAATCAGCCTGTGTCGGACGTGGAGACTTTGTAACCTAGAAAATGACAAATACCTTCTAACCCTAGCCGAGCCAAAGTCACCCGCTACATCAAACAACTGGGACAGACAACTTTTGTATATTTTGCTTTGAGACAAATCCTGAGCAATCTATCTTCCTCAGCCTTCCAATGGCTCCAAGTGTGCAGCGGTGTGGCTGGCCCAGGACTGAGGCTCCTAAGAAGCCTCCTTTTTCTCTTCTAGGCCCCACATACCTCCACACCTACAGTGAATCTCTGAGTGTCCTCCAAAGAACAAATTCTGGAGGAAACTGCCAAAACTTAAGGTGAGGCCAGCCTGGTCTACATGGGACCATCTTAAGAAACCCCTTGATTCTGGGCACTTTAAGAAGGAACCTGTGATGGAGATCCAACAAAGAGCCCACCCAGTCCCTCAACTGTACCTGCAGTCTAGAGGCTGAAGCAGGAAGACTACAAATTCACAGTCAGTCTAGGCTATACAATGACTGTGCATACTCCACCATCTCTATAGAAAGAACCACAAGCCTCAGCTGAACTCTGAATACAAACTTTATTTCTATTACAAGGAAATAGATAATTAGAACAGTAAAATAAAAAGGGAAGGGGCTGGAACCTCAGTCCTCATGAGGGCAGGCGTGGCCCTGGTAGGGACATTGAGAACAAAGCAATATATGCCCCATCAGGAACAGAGGGTGGTGAATGACCTAGAAGCACCAAAGTGGCCTCTAGTCCATGTACCTGCAGCTCAACTTGTTCCTAACATGCTGTAAACCCAAGCTTAGGCCCTCACAAAGAGAGAATTGCTTCACTGGTAGCTCTGAGATTCCCAGAACCCTCCTCTCTGTCCACCAGGACCACAAAGCACCAAGAAGCAGTGGTAATGGTAATGGTATACTATGGATGGAACCCTTATGGGCCAAGAGGGCACAGATGTCCTCATCTCACTGCTGCCCAACAGTAGCAGCAAGGGCCTCCCAGCTAGCCCTCCCTCCAACCCAAGCACCCACAGCACAATCTCAAAGACACAAAATGGCCGTAATCTGGAAAAAATTAAAATCAGGAGTCTCTCCTGCTTGATGAGCCAGAGAGGCAGCTGGACACTGCACCAGCACGTGCTGCTATGCATAGGGGTAGGCAGTAAAAGCCCCCCATAGTCACCATTACTCCTCTTCCTCCTCTGCATCCCCTGCTTCCTGCTGCTTAGGAGGCTTTGCCTGTTAAATAACACAAGGGAAGACAAAGCAGGGAAACAATTCTCAGACACCTCTCCTCACAAAAAGCCACTGGGAGTCTGCCCAGCAAGACATCTCATCTCACAACCCACCAGCCCAGCCATGTCTACATCTGCCCTGAGCATAACTCTGGGACCTCAGTTACCTTTGGGGATCTGCTGTGGTAGCTGGCAGCTGCAGGGGTGACCCGAGAGCTCCGACCACCTTCACTCCTCCCACTGCAAAAAAAAGAACAGGAACCAAGTGCTGAGGGCTGGAGGAGGGGACACCAACATAGCAAAACCCTGTGCACAGCAGGTATTGTGGCAACACAGGCAAAATCCAGACTCAATGAAAACGGGGGGCAACTAGTTAAAGCATGAGCTGAGCACGGATGCGGTCCTGTGCTCCACCCCAGCACCATGGACCATGATGGACCAGTGTGAACAGACCTTTTTTCTTTTGTTTGTCAAGACTGGGTTTCTCTGTGTAACAGTCCTAGCTGTCCTGGAACTAGCTCTAGTAGACTTGGCTCGCCTTGAATTCACAGAGATCTTCCTGCCTCTGCCTCCCGAGTGCTGGGATTAAAGGCGTGCACCCCCACTCTTTTTTTTTTAAACTCACTGCATTTTAATTATTCTGCATGTGTGCAATGTATGTGGTGGTCAGAGGATAACTCTGTGACCTGGTTTTCCTGTTCTGCTTCTAAGTGGGATAGAACTCAAGTAATCAGTGCTTTTACCCACTGAGCCATCTTGCCAGCCCCAGACTGCCTGCCCATGCTCTCTTCAGCCACTATCAGCTCCATCCACTCTGGGGCTGCTGCTTACCTGGCTCCATATCTCCCAGGGGGCCCCTGAGGAAAAGAGGGCGCAAGGTTTTCTGGATAGAGATTTCGAATAGAGTGGATCACTGGAGCATGCCCAGATGCTACAGGCCCATTCTGGCTGCCTCGATTCCGCCCTCGAATGTCCTGGCTGTCTGAGTTGTTGAGCTTCAGCACATGAGGAGGGCTAGGCTGGCACTCAGATCTGGAGCCTGATGCTGAGTTCAACAGTGGGTTACAGGTAGTCACGTTGTTCATGGTTCTGCTAGGAGACAGTGAGTAGGTGGAGCCTTTTGCTGCTTCCTGCTTGACATCATCCATGTAGCCTGAAGACAGTTCTCCTGAGAAGAGAAGGCGGTGATAGCTTTAGGGAAAAGGCTACTTCGTTGTTAGTGCTGGATGCAGGCAGACAACGGACAGCTGCTTCCCACTGAGCTCCAGAGGAGCCAGATGCTCTCTTCCCTACTCTGCATGCTGACTTTCTGACCTTCAGAGACGGTCTCCTAACTTAGCAGTGAACGGATGCTGGCAAACTCGAAGAAGTAGTTTGCGATTGGCTTTGTGGTGGGAAGTTTCAGCAACAGTTCACATGCCCAAAGGATACTAAGGCAGTCAGGAGACATGGCTCCCCACAGCCTGTGATTCACAGCTGTTTCTGAAAGTAGTACCCTACAAAATCTGCACTGATGACAGCTAAGGGTCATGTGGGGACCACTTAACTTGAGCAGTTCCCCAGGAGACCCTCATGCATGCCAATGAGTGGTGAGTTAAGCCTCCTGGAGAAAAGAGAAGTAGAAAGCAGGTCTGAGCCAGCAGTGCTGTGGCCTAGCTCAGCCCCAGCCGATACCCTGGTATTTGATCCTCCTCCTGGGCAGCTCTGGTGAAGTGTCTTCAGGCTGGGAATCCTGTGTAGGGATGCCCTCCATTGCATGGTAGTTTGCTGTGGCTGGGCGTTGGTCACACTGCTCCTAAACAAACCAAAAAAAAAAAAAAAAAAAAAGAAAAGAAAAAGAAAAAAAAAGTGAGTAGTTAGTACTTAGGGTGTTGGGGAGAAGAGCAAGAGTAGACTGGGTGATCATCCACCCCCACAGGGCACACTGAGAACCATTAAGAAAATCTGGAAGCTAAGAGGAAGTCAGATCCTGAGAATGGACAGTCATCATGGGTTCCTGAGGCTCTGGGCAGGGATGCAGCCAGGGCTGGTGTGAAAAAGTCAGAAAGGTAATCTGGCTGGAGTATTGGAGTGATGGCTTAGTCCAGTCTCTCCTAGGTGACAAACAGCAGGCTTGTCCTTGAAATTTGAGATGTATAAAGAGCAAAAAAAGAAATGAGGCCTGTACTCCTGGCTCTTCAAAAAAAAAAAAAAAAAAGTATATTCTGTGAACAACCTGTGATTCCAGACTAGAAAATTGGAAAAGAACTTTGGAGCATGTAGTGTACCACCCTTCCTTCTAGATGATACCATGAGGAGTACAGAACCAGGCCACTACATGGAAAAGCCAGAGCTGGAGCCCAAGTCTCATGGACATAACTCTCAAATAGCAGACAGGAGAGCCTGCCTGTCAAATGCAAGATGCCTCTGCTCTCAGGGAGATGATCCCTCAGCCCTCTGCTCTCAGAGAGGTGATCCTCAGCCCTCTGCAGTCTCAAATGCAGACACCATGGACTCAGCTACTAGAAAGCAGGGCTCTAAGGACAGGATGCAGCTGAAGGCCGGAGGGCATCAACTGCACTCCCAGATGACCCACATGGGGATCAGAGGGCAGCCTCTAGGGATTCTCACCTGATGATGGAACAGCACCTCCTCTTCCAGTTGTACCCCACAGAACTCACAGGGGATGATAATGCTGTCTTCCACAGCAGCTGTGTTGCTTAGGCCCATTAAAGTGTCTAACTGGTTACTTGTTGCCTGCTGTAGAAAGTTCTGGAAGATGACACCAGGATCCTCTGTCCCCCTGATGGAAGAGCTGCCAGTATTGAGTGAACGTAAGGCATGTGAAGGGTTGCAGCTTGTCTGTCATTCGAAAAACATGTTAAAAAATAAAGAGGTTAAGGAAAAATTATACTGCTAAAACATTTTCTCCAAGAAACTGCTTCAACCCCGAGTGCAGAGTTGGAGGCCAGAGAGTACCACAGCACCTGCACCATCACATACTGCCCACAACGATACAATAAAACAGAGGCCAAGCAGTCTTTTTATCCTTGTTAAAGGACCAAACACTAGATGTAGTCAAAATTTTCAGCAACATTTCTGAGAGCAGAAATGGTTACCCAAAGCTGAGAGTACTTGGTACCTTGTAAATGCTGGTACCAATGTACCTGTACAGACCAGGTACAAAGGGAAACATGGCTCCCTTATAACCAGGCACAGGGCTACATGCTCACGGTCCCGGTTGCTTGGGACACTGAAGCAGAAAGGTCATTTGAGTCTAAGAGGGGATGAGGCTGAGCGCTGCAGTCGTACGGTAAAACAGTTTCACCTCACCACAGGCACTGCACTCATTAAGGCTCTTGTGGCTTCTCATACTGACCATCGCCTGCTCATGTTCCTGTCAGAAGCTGTCAAGTAACACACACCTGATGGTCAATGAGCAGTTCCTCCGGGTACAGCTCCTCACAGAACTCACAGGGCAGCAGAGTCTCATCAGCCGCACCTGGGGCCACAGGAACAAGACCCGCAGTCAGCCTTTTCACCGGTATAAGATCTGACACACAAGTCTGACTTGGGGCAGGACAGGTGCTGGACTACCATGAAAGGACACAAACAATCTGGTTCAAGGAGAGGTTTCACAGGAAAAGAAAATTTGAGAAAGACTGTTTGGAAACAGGACCCTTGAAAAGAAACAATTAGGTAAAGATGGAATGAGCTAAACATAATGAAGGAAGAACCCCATCATAAAGGGTCATCAAGCACAGACATCTTGCTGTACATTTTGTTTTGTTTTCAAGACAGTCCTGGCTGTCCTGGAATTCACTCTGTAGATCCACCTGCTTCTGCCTCCCCAGTGCTAGGATTAAAGGTACCATCACACTTGGCTCTCCCCCACCCCCCATTGCTTGCTGTACAATCTTACTACCAAGCAAGAATCCTGGTATGGGCTGGAGAGATGACTCAGCTGTTAAGACCACTCCTGCTGTTCCAGAAGTCCTAAATTCAATTTGCAGCAACTACATAGTGGCTCACAACCATCTGTAGCAAGATCTGGTACCCTATTCTGGCATGCAGAACACTGTATACATAATGAATAAAATAAATCTTTAAAAAAAAATCCTGGTATGATGTCACACTCTATATAGCCTTAGCACTTGGGAGGATGAGGTGGGGCTACAAAGATAGCCTCCAAAAAACAAAACAAAACAAAAACAGTGAAAAAGCTATAGACAGTCCTGACAGAACTGTATTGAGACACTAGACATGGAAAACAGCCAGACACAGAGGAAGAATGCTTTGCACAGATAGCTACCATGGACTTTTCAAAAGTACCAATGTGGCCAGGCGGTGGTGGTGCATGCCTTTAATCCCAGCACTCAGAGGCAGAGTCAGGTGGCTCTCTATGATTTCCAGGTCAGCCAAGATTGCATGAGACCCAGTCTCAAAATAATAATAATAAACCAAACCAAAAGTGTCAATGCATAAACATTTGGAACAAAAACAAGTGCTAAGGAACAGTATTAAGGAACAGTATGTAAGAGCCGTGGCCAGGTAGTGGTAGCGCACATCTTTGATCCCAGCACTACATAGGAAAACTGTCTCAAAAAACAAACCACATACACACCAAAAATGTGAGAAACTTTTGTGACATTGTCTTGTTTACACAGGAGGGTGCTCTTGTTAAGAAGTACATGTTTGGATAGAAGAGCTCAAGGGGAATGTATTGAGGTAAGTGTAAAGAAGAGAACAGAGCACAGATGATGAGCCTTTGGGGTTCACTGTAATGTTTTGAGAATGGTTCAGAATAGGGGTGGCTCTTGGGAGGCAGAGGCAGGAAGATCTCCGTGAGTTCAAGGCCAGCCTGGTCTAAAGAGCTAGTTCCAGGACAGGCTCCAAAGCTACAGAGAAACCCTGTCTTGAACCCCCCCCCCCAACAAAACAAAACCAAACCAAAACCAAAAAAAAGAAGAGGGGTGGGGAGGCAAAAATAATGCAAAGTCTATCTCATTAAACACTTGTATTTTCAGCCAGACGGTGGTGGTGCACACCTTTAATCCCAGCACCCAGGAAACAGAGGCAGGCAGATCTCTGTGAGTTCGAGGACAGCCAGACTACACAGAGAAACCCTGTCTTGAAAAACTAAAAAACAAAAACAACAAATACAATCTATATTTTTGAGACAGATTCTTGCAATACAGCCCAGGCTTGGAATTCACAGAGATCTTTCTACTCTACCTCCCAAGTACTGGGATTAAAAGTGTATGCTAATGCACCTTTATTTATTTAAAAATTTTTGTTTGTAGTGGGAGATGGCATAATTATGCCATGGGGCTCATGTAGTGTCAAAGAGCAACTATGGGAGTTGGTTCCAAACCCAGAATCGCTGGTCTTGGTAACAAGTACCTCTAACCAGTAAGCCATCTCACAGCCCAGTATTTCAATTATTCATGAGTTATATAATGTAAGACTAACAAAAATTGTGGTGACAGGAGGGGCTGGAGAGACTGCTCAGTGGTTGAGAGCCCTTGCTATTCTTGCAGAGGACCCGGTTCTCTTCCTGGCACCTGAGTGGTGGTTCACCACCAATGCAGCTCCAGTTCTAGATGCTTCTGCTTCCTGAGGCACTAAGTGCAGGTGGTACATATACATACAAACAGGCAAAACACTCGTAAAAATTTTTAAAAAGTAAAATATTGTAGAGTCTATGCAAAATAAACAAACTTACCCTTTATATCACCCAGAGAAGTGGACCCACCATGTGCTGGATCTGCCTCAGGCACAGACCCCCAGAAGCCCTGTTCTGCCATGCTGGAGGCCTGTCCCTCATTCTGCAGACTCAGGGCCAACATGAAGTCCAAGTGTGCATTATTTTCAGCACTCTCTCTTGGCGACTGCTGGCTTCTATTCCTTTCCTGCCTTTCTTGTTCTTCAACTGGGAAGAAAACAACTCATTAGCACATTAGAGATTGCCACCATCCATGTCTGACAAGCTGTCAAGATTAACAGAAACTTGCCAACTTCACTAGTAACCTGAACCCTCTGCTGTCAGGGACTTTGAACCTGCCAGAAGACAACAGTCCACTGGGATCATAAACAAATGACTAGTCAACAGCATTACTGAGCTATCACTATGAGACAGACACCATGCTGAACACTGCTCACGTCTTATCTGTGCTATGAGTAAGCAGACTCAGGCTGTGTGGACAACCTGAGTCTGACCTTTCCCTGTGCCTGTGAGCCATTAACAATCTGAGAGCATGCTGCAGGTGCCTCAGGGACTATGGACACTGTCAGGCCTAGCACCATCAATCCTAACAGCTACAGCATACCACAAGGTTCCATCATTCCTGCTCTATAGGCAAGTCTAGTATCCTTCCCAGTGAGTGTCCTCTGTTTCTAGTAACAAGATCTATTGGCTTCAAAGTCCTGTTGCCCTTTTGTCCTAAGGTTGGGGCCTCACTCCCATTTCCTAAGGCAAAACACAACTCACCCAGATTATTCTGAACTGGAAAATGGGCTGTCGTGTTCCTCTGGCTGACAGTCCTACTGTGGAAAGGGTCCGACTCAAAGGCTCTCAGGGGCCTTCCAGGGAGTCTCATGGGAGGGTCCAGGGCCTCAATTTGTCTGAGGAGCTGGGATGCAATCCAGATTCCATCCTGACTCCAAGACTCATCATAGGAATCAGGAGGGATGACAGCCTCATCTCTCTTTTCTTCCTCCACTCTCCCACACACTTCAGGGTGAGTCTTCAGCTCTTTCACAAGCACATTGCGCCCACAGCTGCCACACAGCTCTGTCCGGGCGCCACAGTAATCTTCATGCTCCTTTAGCTTGAGAACAGAAAGCTCCAGATCACAGTGCTGGCAGACAGCAAGTCGCAGAGGACACTCAGTCTCCTACAAGGCAAGGTGGAAAGGTGCTTATACATAGAGAGGCTGGAGTACAGCACAGGGCAAGAAAACTCTGACTCTGGCTAGAATGCTATGCTTTCTAAGAATTATGACCTGTGGGGCCTGTTCGATGGTTTTGCAAGTGAAAGTGCTTGCCTCCAAAGCTGACAGCCTCAGTTTGAAGTCCAGGATCTACATGGTGGAAGAAGAACTGACTCCTACAAGTTGTCCTGACCTCCACATTTGCACTGTGGCACACAGACAGCACATACACACACTAACTAAAAGTAATTTAAAATAAAAGGAAAAGCCAGCTTTCAACATATAGAATAAGTCACAGACTTGGTTTCATATATCCCAGGAAGGCATCAACAGGTAAACCTCATTGGACAGACAGACTTGGTTCCCCAAAGGAGAAAGAACAAAATTCCAAAGGAAGGGAGTACAAGAGCTAGGTAGTCCCATCTGGCGGGAGTCAGCCAAAGCTTCAAATGGGCCTTGAGCCTGGGTCTGCCCTAGAGTGGGTGGAAAACAGGCTGTGTATAGGCTTTCTTACTGCTCGTGGCTCTGGTTTCACCGGGCTTAGCCCCAGAAGTCCCTCTTCCCAGGGTGAAACTAACCGTATGCTGCTTTAAGTGCCTCTTCTCCAACTTCTTGTTACATTTGCATGTCACCTAGGATAAAAAGAGTCAATCAAGTGTCTCTGTAACAACATACTTTCCTATTACATAACAGGGAATGGGCAGTTCACCTGACAGTGCTCTGTGGTCATGTGAATGTCCATATCAGATTTGGGGAATGGTTCCTTGCAGACAGGGCACACACCAATGTTCCTTTGACAGTGGATTTCATGGATGGTAAAATTAAACACAGGAATTTCCTTTTTGCTACAGAAATAAGCAAAAAAAAAAAAAGGCAAACATTACTAACTGATCAATGACTTTTCTCAAAGAGTGATTATCACATGGACACCCATCCTACAGGTCTTCGTCTCTATTAACATTTTGGTTTTATGCTTGTCTTTTCACACAGGATCTCATGAAGCCCAGGCTGGCCTCAAGTCACTATGCAGGAAAAACTTTGATCTTCCTTTCTCTACCTCCCAGGTGAGACTATAGGTGTAGATCACCATGCCCCACTTGTTTTTGAGACAGATTCTCACACTGGAACACAGACGTCCTCAAATTCGTAGCAATCTTCCTGCCCTAGCTTACTGAGTGCTGAAATGAAGGTGTTAACTACCTTGCCTAACTAACAATTTTTTATTTCTGTCTTGTTTGCTTATTTGCTGTTTTACTTTTAAGACAGGGTCTTGCTATTGTAGCTCTGGCTGGCCTGGACCTCCTTCCTTAGCCTCTCAGGTTCAGAGAGCCTTCGAACCCTGATACTCCCATGTCCTGGAATATCAGATACTATAAGAAAAGAGGTAACCACAAACAATTTCAGGGTCTGGGGAGATGCTTCAGTGAACCAAAGTACTTGTTACCAAGCCTAGCAACCTAAATGTAGTCCTAAAGGGATGGAAGGTAGAGAGAGAACTGATTCCAAAAGGCTGTCCTTTGGCCTTCATTGCATGTGCACACACATACAAAATAAAAACAAAATATACTAGACAGCATTTAGGAAGAAAGTATTTCCAATGACAACAAACTTTTCTACTAACTGCCTAGCTGTGTCCAATGCAATGTTGATGCTGAGGAACACCTTATCCCTTCCTTTAGTTAGTTACTCATTTATTTTTGGTATTTCCAGATAGGTTTCTCTATGTGGCCCTGGAAGTCCTGAAACTTGCTTTGTAGACAGGGCTGACCTCAAACTCAGATATCTGCTTGCTCAGAACATGTGCTGGGATGACAGAAAGACAGGCATGGTGGCACACAATATGGGAACCAGACAGGTAGATTTGAGTTTGAGGCCAGCATTGTCTAGAGAGTGACTTTGATTCAGGATAGCCAGGGCCACACAAAGAAACCCTATGTTGAAAATGAAAAGGTGGGGAATGGGTGTCAGAGAGAGATGACAGAAAACCCCAAAGACCAACTGTTTTCTTGTTTGATTGGAAGGTTGGTTTTGTTTTGAAAACAGGGTCTCTCTATGCAGACCAGGTTAGCCTCTAACATACAAGAGATCCACCTGCCTCTGCCTTCCAGGTGCTGGAATCAAAAGTATATGCCACCATACCTGGCTAAAGACCAACATGGTTTTATATTCGGTATATTTAGTTTGTGTATATGGGTGTTATGCCTGCATGTATATATGTGTTC